TCCTTGGAGTCTAACGAAGGTTTCGAGCCAAAAAAAATGTCAATCGGTTGAAAATTGAGGCACTTGGACGCTTTTGAATCTAAAAACGGAAAGCGTCGTTTTACGGTGATATATAAGGTAAAATCGATTGTCATCATCATTTTTCCCACGATTTAACAAGTCCCATCGTGTATCAAAAGTCGCCGCATAGGTTCCTAATTCTAATAAAGAGTTTCAAAATTCACCGCGGTTTCCCCTTAATAATCTCAATTCCTCATAAATTACAAATTAATAAGTGATTTCGAAGAAATAACTAGTTAAGATCTGAATTCCCTAATAATCAAAAGAAAAAATCTGTTGGCACACCTGGGCTTTCTTCTTGCATATCCGTTACCGGCAAGAGGAATGTTTTACGCGCCAAAAATTTGAATCTAGGATAGCCCTATTCAACAAAGTAATTGTCTGAGAATGGTAATTTCCCCAATCCACATAATATTGTTGGGGGGGAATTTGAGTAACTATTGAACATGATGTAGAGGGTATTAAGTGTTGAATCTCTTTGGCAAGGGAAAAATGAAATGAAAACGAAAATTAGCAAAACGCCGATAGTACAAAAAGGGGAAAATAGAAACTGAAAATGCATATTCAGTCAATCAGTTCGTGAAGCCACGCTGAAAAGGTGCTCGCTAACTTCGTGACGAAGAGATTTCTCGCCTATAACCAGTTAACCCATTGAGTCACGATCGTTTCGAATCGTCTCCGTGTGAGGATAGTGGGGGGAGGGAGGGTCCGGCAGTGTATTAGGGTGCCATAAGAAAAACACGGCGGCGCTCGCACACTACCACAAAATGGCGACAAGTGGGGAAATGTTCCGTGACTCAATGGATTAAACTATTACTTTTTGTCATTCCGGCCGTAAAGCAGCGCTTCACGGACTCGAAGCGGAGCGGCGAGTCCGTGAATCACTGCTTTACAGCCGGAATAACAAAANATAGTCCTCTTCAGGCGGAATCATCAAGTAGAGAATGATGTCATGAAAATACCAAGTCAGAAGACTGCCATTCTCTTTACATTCTCTAGATACTCTCAACTGCTAGACAGAGCGCGAATCTCTCTTTATTCTCCCTTCAAGATCGAGATACGCTGTAGCGTATCGGCCAAGAAAAATTTTTGACTCCGACTGTCCAAGATCTCTGGCCGAGTGCTAGCGCGTATCTATACACGACGAAATTACCCCCTCCACTACCACTGAATAATGTTCATTCAATAAAATGAAAACGAGACAACTTACGCGGAAGATACCCTTAATTACATCATGTAAATCGGCCACAAGCTTTTTCTTAATGTAACTATTTTGCTGTACAAGGGAATATTAACAAAGTTACGCGCGTAGCAACGGCTTCCTATGCTCATTCTTGAATTTCACATCATCTTAGCGGAGAATGAATCCGTCTAGTTGGTAGCAGTGCAAGGGGGAGGGGGAGGAGGAGGGGGAGAGGAGAGAGAGAGAGAGAGAGAGAGAGAGAGAGAGAGAGAGAG